TAATATTTACTGAAGCTGTCTCCAGTCTCTCACAGTTCTGGAAAGCTTGTTTTGTCCCCAAGCTGTCACTCAAACTAGCAAATTATTAGACGTTCATTTCCATCAGGATATAGGTGTTGGAACCCCATAGCTGAAAGCACCATTTGGCATGTTAACAATCTGTGCTAAATAACTGTTGATTCTTCAAAAGTATTAGTTAGCCACCATGCTAACACGGAAGGGGTGTTTCCTGGAAGCCTAGCCATTTAGGAAGAATTTCTGTAGTTTTACTTTTGAAATTCTTAATTAGTTACTGATACTAGTGAATTAAGCTAGTATCTTTGGGTATAGGAACGCTGTGGATGATCAGCAGGTGATTTTCATTAGTCTCTGAGTGATGGCATGTAAGCACCAGCTTAACTAAAATTCCAGAGTGGTTTTCCATCTGAAACAGGTGGCCACAGACACCTGCCAGAGTAATAACTGTTAATGACTAGCATTTACAGAGTGTTGATCATGCGCCAGGCACAGTCCTAAGCCCTCTATCAGTATTAAATCATTTAATGCCTCAAGGACCCCTGAGAAAGGTGGAGTTAGTTCCATCTATAGATAATGCTATCGAAGCAAAGACCAGTTAAGTAACTGGCATAAGGTCACGCAGCTGGTAAGTGATGACAATGCTGGGACTTGAATTAATATTTTCTGAAAATTCTTATGCATGCTTTCCACAGGAATCTTTCATCACAGTGTCCTTGTCATAGCTAGAGTCACTGCTTGATATGTAACATTTTTCAGAATAAATCATCTGTCTGTTCATACATACTGTCTGAACTACAGCATTTTTAAGTATGATTCTTTCAGTGGCAATTTTCCAAGCCACCAATACCTATTTTCACATATAATTAAGTCTCTCTTCTTGATTCCTACTCTACGTGTGTATTCATGATGTCCACAATACTACCACTTACTGTATTATTTTCTCCTCCATCATATTTATTTTTAAATGAAGATTAGCTTTTTATTATAGAAGCAGTGTATGTGCTTTATAGAAAGTCAGAAAATAAAGACAACCAGCAAAAACATAAAACATTTTATTCCCACCCTTGTAGGCTGGACAATGTTCCCTCAAAGATGCTTACATTCTAACCCCCAGAACCTCTACGTATGTTTAGGTTACATGGCAAAGAGGAATTAGGGTTGCCAGTGGAATTAATGTTGGTAAAGAGTTGACTTTAAAATAAGGAGATTATCTTAGACTCTTGGATGGGCTCAGTGTAATCACCAGGGTCTTTAAAAGTGGAGGAGGGCAGCAGAGAAGTTCAGGGTGATATAATATGAGAAAGACTGGACAGCCATTGCTAGTTTTGAAAATGGAGGAGGGGAAGCCAAGGAATGCCAGCAGCCTCTAAAAGCTGGAGAAGGGAAGGAAGTGGACTTTTCCCCAGGCCTCCAGAAAAAAATGCAATCCTGCCAATACCTTGATTTTAGTTGCATGAGACCCAGTTTCAACTTCTGACCTATAGGACTGTAAGATCATAAATTAGTATTGCTAGAAGCCACCAAATTTTTGGAAATTTGTTATGGCAGCAATAGAAAACTAATGTACAGTGACTATAACTGTTGACCTTTTATTTTATGTATTTTTAGATCTTTTTATTTATTTATTTATTTTTTGAGATGGAGTCTCGGTCTGTCACCCAGGCTGGAGTGCAGTGATGCAATCTCGGCTTACTGCAACGTCCGCCTCCCAGGTTCAAGCAATTCTCCTGTATCAGCCTCCCGAGTAGCCAGGGCTACAGGTGCATACCACCATGCCCAGCTAATTTTTGTATTTTTAGTAGAGAGGGAGTTTCACCATGTTGGTCAGGCTGGTCTCGAACTCCTGACCTCAGGTGATCCACCCACCTTGGCCTCCCAAAGTGTTAGGATTATAGGCGTGAGTCACTGCGCCACATACATATGCCTTAAAAACAAACAAACAAACAAACAAACAAAAAAACTAAATGAGATTATAATGTTGTAAATTGTCTATTTCCTTTTAGTATTTCTCTTTTCCTATTAATACAATTTCATGGCATCTAATTTTCTCCCAAATGTCTCCCCAAAGCTGGTTTGTCCAAATCAGGATTTAGGTCAGGATCATGCATTATATCTGGTTTGTGTGGTGCTTAGATATTTTAAGATCTAAAACTGTTCTTCTTTTCATCTACTAATTTTTATTCACAGTACTTGTCTGATTGCTTCCCTATGCTGTCCATCATAGCTTGTTACTCTGTCCTCTGTACTTCCTGTAAATTGTGATTTAGAGCTGAGAGTTTGGTTGGTTCATGTTAATAAATTTAGTCTAGAGTACATCTTGGGCACTGTCGTATGTTTTATTTGAAGTTACATAAGAAGACACATGCCATCTAGTGCCCACCATTATTGAAACTCAGATTATTTGAGCACTTCCTCTGTGACTCCATTTATTTGAAGTTCTAAAACAATGCTTATCTGTGGTGATAGAAATCAAAGCAGGGATTGCGTCTGAGAATGGTGGGAATTGGCTGGACAGGATACTACAGAACTTTCTGGGTTGATGGCAGTGGTCTATATCTTTTTTAGGGTGGTAATTACTCACCTGTATAGAATGGTCAAAATTAAATACTTAATATCTGTGCAGCCTTTTAATCATATAATTTAAATTATGCTTTTAAATTTTTTAAATAAAATTAAAACTTTTTTTAAATGCAGCCCTTAGCAAATTTATTAAGCAGTGACACAATCCACTTCGCTTATTACTCTAACCCTGGCTGCTGTCTTATTCTGAATCTCTTAATACTCTGCCAGCCTTACACTTGACTACCTGTGACTTTTTAAGGCCTAGGTCTTAGTTGCCCTAGTAAGTACGTGTCCTAAAACAGAGTTATGATTATACCACGTCAGTGCCCTTCACAACAATGGTTGTCAACCTAGGCTGAGTATTAGAATCAACTGGTATGTTAGTTGGCTCTGGCTGCCATAACAAAATACTATAGACTGGGTACTTAAACAACAGAGACTTACTTTCTCACAGTTCTGGAGGCCGGAAAGTCTGAGTTCATCACGCCAGAGTGGTCAGGTTCTGGTGACGGCTGTCTTCCTGGGTTGCACAGTTTAAGTTTCCCCGTAACATGCAGCCAGGATTACAGACTTCTATACGTTGGTATTCAAGCGGGGTCTGTGGACCAGGAGCATCAGCATGTCCATGTCAGAAATGCAGAATATCCTGCTCTACCCCTAGATCTGTGACTTCAGCTCTGCATTTTAACAAGATCCCAGGATGGTTTGCATGCATGATAAAGTTTGAAAAATACTTGTCTGCAGCATCTTGCATAGGTTACCAAACAGATATGGAAATGCTCCATCAATCAATTTTTGTTTGCATTGAAATGGATAAGGCTTTTGTCAGCAAACTAAGTTTCAGCCTTTTTAGTCTTGGATGCCTGTCAACGTGTGGATCTTGAGTACAAATAACTGCACCTTCGTGTGAAGATTTTATGCATTGCCTATATATTGTTGTCTATCAGCAAGCCAAAAAATAGAAGCAAATACACCCAATATTAAAAACAAGTCCTAACATTTTTGAAAATATACTGCCACCCCAGCAATTCCATCCCTATGAATAATTACTTCCTTAGCTTTAGGTAGATTTTAAAATTGATAATGAAATAGAATATGTACTTGCACCCCAGTAGCAAAAGAGGAGAGAAGTGGCACTTAGCACGTGCATGAATACTCTGTAACTAGTACATAATTCAGTAATCCAGCGAAAGGAAAAATATGTGCTTAAATAAATAGCTGAGAAGCCCTAATGCTTAAAATATTCTCATGGTGAGACATCAGAGTATTGTTACATATGATAATATTATGTAGCATATACTGCTAGTTTTCAAAAAAATTTATTACAGTTAGTAGGCTTAATACTAGAAACATTGAAAAACATGTAGTCTTACTTGATGCTTCAGAAAGAAGTTCAAGGTCTTGTCATCCATCAAGATCATCAGTATGGTTGTCAATATTCATGTTGCTCATGAAGCACTAAAGATTCCTAGCTGACAGACACTAAAAAGTGATTAATTTTCACCTTCCCTTTTCCCATCTCTACCCATTAGAGGTACCTAATGGGTATATTTCCTTATCTTTAAGAACTGTTAATTTCTAAAACCTTTATATTTAAAATACCCTCTTAATTCAGTCTAGCTACACGTTTAAACTCCAGCCTCAGGGATAATTTCTGCTTCTGGAAATTGGTCTTCTTCTCATTTTCCTTTGATAACTTATTTGTTAATATGATTAAATAGTTTGCTAAACTATCTCAAAATGGCTTTCCGGCTTAGCCATAGCATTGTTATATTCTGTCCAATAGGCTAAAAATAAACAGACACATATATGTATACACACAAATTCACCTTTTAAAAAAGGAAGCCCCAATAATGTTTTATATTGAAATCCTACTTCCCAAATGCATAAGGTTGACATTCATCTAATTAGTGATTGCATTGAACCAACAAGTTTCTATTGAATGCATGTAGTATGCCCAACAGAAATACATTTTGAAACCCAAAACTTTTTACATTGGTTATACAGAGAGATCTTACATTCTAAAATTGCAAATTATTGAATAAAGACCTTGCTGGTTACTGGTTCAGTAAAATTTATTTTAAAAGATTTATTGGATTTATTTAAAAGATTTATTTTTCACTACCTTCAAAACAACACTAGAAGATAGTGGCGTTTCTCCCTTAAACATTATGTAAGAACATTTACATTAATAAAATAATGCACAACCAGAATTAAGTTTACTTTTTTCTTTTTAGCAAATACTTTTTTATATTTTTCTTTTTAATGAAAAATGAATTTCTTACAAAACTGAAATATTAGAAAAAGATATTCAATGGAAAGTGAGTCTAAGATCTCTCAGAAATGTTTTATGCACATATAAAAATCTATGTTTTCTATATAACTTTATGTATTACCTTATTCTGTTTTTATCTTCACAGGTGGAAGTATACCATGTACTCTTCTCTACCTTGATATTTTTTACTTGAGTCATTTTGGAGGTGCTTCCATATCAGCACATGTACATCACCTCATCTTCAATGCTGTGTAGTATTCCAAGTATGGATTCAACCACTGCTATCAATATACATTTAAATGTTTTTCCTGGTTTTTACAATCTTATAATTAAGTGATGTTGTCATAAATAACATGTAGATATGTCTTTGCATTTCAGCGCTAGTATATCTGTAGAATAGAATATCAGAAATAAAAATGCTATTCCAAAGAATATGTGCATCTATTGTTTTGATATATAATGCCTAATTTCCCTTCAAAGATCTTGAGCCAGTGTACAGTTTTTGAGCCAGTACCCAGCAGTGTTTGAGAGTGTTGTTTGCCTGGTGGGCACCCACGCATCGCTTGAATGATTCTCTCCTTTCTCTCCTGCATCATCAGTGCTTCCCTTTCTCTACCAGGTCACTATAATCAGCACAGCATGCTGTCATTTCTCACATCTGGAAAGAAGAATTCCTTAGTGGACTTCGTGTGCCCCTTCAACTACTGCCCCATTTGTGTTCTCCCTTTTGCATCAAAACTTCTAGAAAAACGATGTGTAAACTCCATGTCTTCATTTTTTCTCTTTCCACCCTCTCAAGTCTTCTCCTGTTAGGACTTTCAGACTCACTACTTTACCAAAACTGTTCTTAGCAAGTCACTTATGACCATTGCTATATCTAGTCATGAGTACTTGGCCTTCATCTTACTATCCTTGAGCAGCCTTTGATAAAAATGATCCATCTGTTCTTCTTGGACCACTGTCTTCACTTGGCTGTGATGATACCATACCCTCTTCTGACCTTAGCTGCTCCTTCCAACTCTCTGTTGCCGATTTCTTCCTGTATCCATGATGTCTTGATGTTGGTGTGCCCAGGACCCAGTCTTTGGACCTTTTCCCTTCTATGCTCCCTCCATCAGTGATCTGCTATAATCACAGGGCATTACTGTTTCTACCCTAAAGACACCCAAACTGCCCATGGCCTCAATGTCTTTCTTTTTTTTTTGAGACAGAATTTCACTCTCGTTACCCAGGCTGGAGTGCAATGGCGCGATCTCCACTCACCGCAACCTCCGCCGCCTGGCTTCAGGCAATTCTCCCGCCTCAGCCTCCTGAGTAGCTGGGATTACAGGCATGCGCCACCATGCCCAGCTAATTTTTTGTAGTTTTAGTAGACGTGGGGTTTCACCATGTTGACCAGGATGGTCTCGATCTCTTGACCTCGTGATCCATCTGCCTCAGCCTCCCAAAGTGCTGGAATTATAGGCGTGAGCCACCGCGCCCGGCTCTCAATGTCTTTCTTAAACACAAGACTTGTGTCTTATGCTACCTACTTGACATCTCTACTCAAATACCATAGAGATATCTCAAATTAAATATAAAACTGGGTCACTTCCCTAAAACCTGCTCCTTCCCCACTCTTCCCCATGTTAGGCAATAGTCATTCCATCCTTCTAGTTACTCAGACAAAACCCCACTCATTCTTGACCTCACTCTTTTGTTCACACTCCGGTCCATTAGGAAGTCTTGTTGGTTCCACCATCAGAAGATACCCAGATTCTGACCACTTCTCATCACTTTCGTTTCCACATCCTGGTGCAGGCAGCTGTCCTCTCTCCTCTGGATTATTTCCACACTCTCCTGCTTCTACTCTTGCCCCCACTGTCTCTTCTTCATAGAACAACACAGCACCTGAGCAATCCTGTTAACACTCACCAAGTCATGTCACCCCTCTGATCAAAGCCCTACAGTGGCTCCCGTCTCATTGAGCATTTAAAGGTTATATATTATATGCCCCCAACCCACACACACAGAACCTCCCTCTCCGATCTTACCTCCTGTTACCCTTCTTGCTCACATTGCTGTGGTCCCAGTAGCCTTTTTGCTGTCCTTCTGGTGCCATGTAGAGCAGAATCCAGAAACAGACTTGTGTATATATTTAAATGCTTCATTTGAATAGCTCATTGTATTATTCACTAAAGAGAAGAATTGATAGATTCTCCAACAAATAGGGACATTCAGGATTGAAACTCAGGCAATCTAAAGTCTGAACCTCCTGGGGGGTTGCTCCATGAAATTGCCTTTCACTTCACTCTGTCTCTTATTTAACACTCAGAAATGCCTTGGAATAGTTTAGCTCCCAGTGAGTGGGTAGGCACATTTGCGGAATTTTCAGAGTAATCGGGGGTGAGAGAGGGCCAGGCAGGAATAACAGCCCAAGAGTGTGCTTCTTGGGCCATGGCAGAATCCTCATGGCTCGTGGTAGGAGAGCTGCCTTTCTCACGGACCCTTGGAGATCTGGAAAACTGTGGCCTTGTCTGAGAACATGCTGTTTTGTAGTCTGCCTTCTCTATAGAGATATAACCATCTCCATATGTTTTCACACCATTTGCCATTATTACTGGTACATTGAATAAGCAGATAAAAGGTTCAATTATAAAGCAACCTTATTTGTACTTCCCAATATCTTTTCTATTTTATATTATTATTATTTTTTGAGACAGAGTCTCCCTGTCACCCAGGCTGGAGTGCAGTGGTGCCATCTCGGCTCACTGCAACCTCCACCCCCTGGGTTCAAATGATTCTCTTGCCTCAGCCTCCTGAGTAGCTGGGACTACAGGCACATGCCACCACACCTGGCTCATTTTTGTATTTTTAGTAGAGACAGGGTTTTGCCCTGTTGGCCAGGATGGTCTGGAATTCCTGACCTCGTGATCCACCCACCTCAGCCTCCCAAAGTGTTAGGATTACAGGCGTTAGCCACCGCACCTGGCCCCCAGTACTTTTTAAAATCCATCCCTTGAGGTATTTCTTTTTTGTTGCCTGGATAAAACTCAAGCACCCCACAGTTTCTTCTGGCCCCTCCAGGATGCAGGGAGATAAAGTGGTAAGAAGGACAGAACAGGTCTTTCTTGATTGGTATTATTGTGGTCATGTTTCTCCAGAGTTGGCAGATGATTCAAGCCAACTGTCTTGTGGAGGGTTAAGAGACCCCACTTTGAGAGGAGGCCTCTTCATTAAAATAGACTTCTTTATGTTAATGGATGATGGGTTCCTGGAGGGGCAGAACCAGGTGGCAGCTCTTATCATCCAAGAGCAAGGTAGGCACAGTTGCCATAATGGTCAGAGAGTCTGGAGCAGCAAGTGGAACATCACAGCACACAGAGACCTTTGCTATTGGCTCACTGTTTGTGGTGGCCCTAGAACCAAACTAGATGGACAGTCTCCTAAGAATTATCTGATTTATGTAATCAGGAAATCTCTAGGTCTAGTCAATAGAAATCTGAGTTGTTCAATGGAGAGTCATTGCCTCTCATCTACGTTCCAGACCTGAGTCAGTTCTAAAACACAGAAATCCTTAGATCGCTGATTTTCAAACCGAGGCCAAAATGTTGCAGTGACAGCATCACCTGGGACTTTAGTAGAAATGCACATTTTCAGTCCCTGCCCAAACCCACTGACACAAGAGCAATCAGGAGGCGGGTCCCAGCAATCTTCACTTCAGCTGATTCTGATGCATGCTAAGGCTTGAGAACTCTAAAGTTTAGATGAAAGAAAGACTTGGGAAGATTAAGGAAGGACTCTGTAACATTGGTATAAGTATCTAGCATAAACCTTCCTTTAAGTCTTCCCCAAAAGACATGCAACCATTCACTAGGGTAACTTTGCACTGGGGAATATCCAGGCTTTCGGTAGATTTGTGGACCTTGGTTCTGAGTCTATGCTGACCTCTAGAGACCCAAAATGCCTCTGGCCCATTGGAGGAGGGTATCACTTATGGTAATCAAGTAGTAAATGAAATTTGGACCTGTGGCTGCTTTGGTGGATTGCAATGGGTGTCTTTACCCATTGGTTATTTTCCCATTCTTGGACGGAGTTGTCATCTCAGAAACAAAAAGAGCCCACTTCCATATGGAGTCTATATGTTGAGTATTGTTATGGTAGGCAGGGCCAAGTGAAAGCTTCTTGGGACTTCCCCTTCCTATGGAAGAGTGAACTGAAAGCAAAACCTTATCCCTGGAGAAATTGCAGAGATTAGTACTTCTATCTAACACTTGAACAGTACAGGAGTTGTTCTGCTGTGTCCTCATTTAACTCCTCTGTCTGGCACGTACAGAAGGAAGATGGTTATTGGAGAAGGACTGTGAGTTCATACATTAACCAATTACTAGACCAGATTTAGTCTTTTTTATTGGATGACACAACAGAGCTCTTGGCACTTAGTATGCAGCTATAGATCTGGTGGATGCTTTTCCCCCCAATACCAAATTAGCAAAGATCACCAGAAGCAGCTTGCTCTCAACCAGCTGGAGGATTGGCAAAACACCTCCCTACCTTACCTCAGGCCTGTGTTGCCTCTCCTGCTCTGACAAGAACTAGTCTGCAGGGGCCTGGACCATCTTGGTATCCTGCGGAACATCCTGCTGATGTGTAATTGACATGGTGAGCAACAAGGAGCAAATATCATAAATGCCTTAATAAGACAAATGTATGCCAGAGGGTGGGAGATGATCCCCAAGAAAAATCAAGGCCTGTTGCTTTGGTGAAGGTTCTAAGGGTCCAGTGGTCTGGAGAATATTGGCATTTCCTCTCCAAAGTGAAAGATAAATTGTACTTTGTACCACCTACCATGAAGAAAGAGCTATAGTATTCTGTGGGTCTTTTCATTTTTCAGGCAACACACACCCTTTTAGAGTCTATTGTTCAGAGCAATGCTTTGAGTTACCCACTAAGCTGCAGGTTTCGTACAGGGACCAGTGCAAAAGGGGGTTCAAGAGAGAGCAGGGTTTCTCAGTCTTGGCACTACTGACATTTGCAGGACAGGCAATTCTTTGCTGTGGGGCTGTCCTGTGCATTGCAGGGTGTTTAGTAGCGTCCCTGGCCTCCACCTACCAGATGTTAGTAGCATCACCCCCCATAGTTTTGACAACCGAAAATGTCTACAGACCCGGCCAATTTTCTGGGGTGCAAAATCACCCCCATTTGAGAACCATTGGGCTACAGCATGTCTACTTAAGCTTCAAGGTGACTACAGTGCTGGCTGACAACTGGACTGCAGCCTCTTGAGAGACCCTCAGCCAGATTCTCCCAGCTGAGCTGTTCCCAGATTCCCGACCCTCAGAAACAATGTGAGATGATAAATGCACGTTGTGAAGTTTTGTGTTAACTTATTACTTAGGAGACTCAATCAATCTTCCGAGCCATAAGGTTAGGCATGCGTGACAGAAATCTAT